ATCTAATTGAATTATCTTTTGAAAAACCAACATAGTGAGATATCAAATAGGTTTAATAAACCAATACCCAAGTGAAAAAGGCTTTAATGTTAAAGTAATTAAGATTTTTTGGTTTTCATGTATATCTCGTATTTATTATTGAATAGTTTGTAACAAAAGTAATTGTAATGCAAAAATTAGAAACTTTTTAGGTTATATAAGAAATCTTAAATTAAAAAAATTATCTTCCAGGAATGTGTTTAGGCTGCTTTCATGTGGTCTAACACAATTTGTATACCGTAACTTGCACTAAGCCATTGCTGTGTAATTTATTGCGTTATGTTAGTTAAACATACTTCAAAGAGTAATAAATGAAAAAAGTGAAACTATTATGAGCTTAGGGCTATTTATCATAAATAGTTGTAATTGTCTGTTACAATCTGCAGTCATTCTAGAAGCACTTTTTGATTTTATTTGAAATTTTTCATTCTTTTGTTTCACTGTACATTGATGATTAACTACAGTTAAGTGTTAGGGTAGAGAAATTACAAGAGTATAAAGTCTTACTGAAAAAAAAAAGATTCATTTAGGAGATTCTAGAGATTAATTAAATATGAAACTAAGATGAAAAGAACTATTTTTATTCTTAGCATAAAAATCACCTTTCACTCATCAGACTCAGTAAAGGCTTTGTTAATTCACAGACAAATCTTAAGTAAAAATACATTATTAACTTTTGTTTTTTTTATGTATACAAAAACTTACAGTGCTTACTAAAAAAGCTTGCCAATTTCATGAAGATGCACTTAGTAAAATCAGAGTTATAGTATGTGTAGTTTCATGGTTTACAAGGTTGGTCAAAATGACCAAGCTCATATAAAAAATATTTAAAGGTTTTCTTTTGTATTTGTGTTCTTGTACTAATGTCTTTGATTTGGCATATTTCATTTTTTTAAAGTATCTCTATTATAATGTCTCGAACTGTAATATAAATGATAAAGATTTTGTTGATATAACTATTTGTGATCATTATGTTTGGTATATCATTAGATATTCTTTTTGCTTTCACTCGTACGTTCTTAGAATTGTTAAAGTATTTTTCTTTTGTAACCATTGCCAAATTGTATTCAGTGTTAAAGGGTGTTTTTGCAATTGCAGTCATAATTGGTTTTAAAATTAAATTTAATCGTTGGCTAGATGACAAGCCTGAAACAGAAGTGGAATGAAAGATATTCTTTGCAAGCTTACCGTATGTTTCCCACCATGTTATTTTAATGTAGACATTTTCAAAATCTGTTGTTTATTTTGAGTCTCTGTAGTTTTGTGTAACACCTGATTCAGAAAACTCTTAAGATGATTTCACTTTAGCTACCTTTTTTCTTTGTTGTTCTCTTGTTGAGGACATCTGATGTGCTTGTGAGAGGTATAGATGTACCTTATGTATGAAGGTTGACAGCAATGTCCTCCAATGGTAGGTCAGGTGATATCTCAAGGTTATGACCCCTAGTGTTTCAGTGGTATTGACTAACTGTGACATAGGTAGTGCACACGTCTTGAGAATATCTTGTAGAATTTGGTATAAAAATACTATATCTTAGTTCTCACACTCTATCAAGTTTAAACCATCAATCTGGTCAGTAAAGTTCTTTCTTTAAATAGTGATAATTTCAAAGTTTAGTAAATTAATTAATTCATAGTAAACATTTTAATATGTTATTAAGAGAGATTTTATTATAAAGATGCTGTCCTATATGGACAATATTTTGATTGTTTGTAAGTTTAAATAAAGATTCTTTTGTTGTATTTTTATATTCTTGTGTACAGCCTCTTTATTTCTCAAACTCTGACAGTTTTAGAGAAATTATGTATCACTTTGTAATTTACCCTAGTGATAATTCATTTAATTTAACTTGCTGATAATTCAATTATAAAATTGACCAACCTCACACTCTGCAGGAATCAGTTAACAGGAGAATACCACAGCAAATAACGGTGATCTTTCTCCATCTTTTGTACTTTTTTTGACATTGAAGGTTCCAGTATTGGTACAGAGAACTTGTAAAGTAAACTAAAAGAAAACTTGGAAAAAAGTTCATTGAAAAATTTCATTATTTTATCCTATGTGTCTAAATGTTGTAATTATTTTGTGTTATGTAAATAAGATGTAATTGTGTGTTGTTTTTAAAGTAAAAGCCCAAAAAAAATGAGGGAACAATGTTATAGGCACTTGACATCGTGTAATGCATGTTGGTAATTTTTTCTTATTTAGCATTTATATTGTGTTTCATTATTCTATCAGTCACTGACTTGCATCCCTAGATATGGTGCATGGTAGTCTGTTTGCCATCTTCTTCTTAGTACACCCACCATTGAATATAGTTAAGTATCTGTACGTGATTTCAACACAACCAGAAAACTGAAGTTGTTTTTTAAGTGTTATTTCAAGTTTTCCTGTTAATCTGAAATTTACTATTTTTTGAGCACCCACATGATTTTTTGACTTGCACTATTATAAGTAGGAAATAAAAAGGTAAAATTATGGATTGTATTTAAGTGAATACTTTAGTTTGGATTTTCAATAACTCAAGTTCTGTAACCATTGTTTCTGTGTTCTCTTGGTATCATCTGTTTTATTCTTGCTGCTGTGTCTGTGATATTATCAGAAGAAAGCTTTCATACTCTAGTTCTACTTGCCAGTAACTGGATGTGAAGAATCAAAGTTAAACTTACCTCACTATGTGTAGAATAGATTTAAAGTTATAAAGAACTTTCAGACAATGCTCAGAGTTTGATAGCAGGAAATCTTATCTCTTCTTACCCAGACATTGTTGTTCTGTACTTAGTTATTGGAAATTCCAGAGAACCACTGTCCCATGCATCCAAATCATAAAATGTCATCCACATACCTTTCATCAAGAAGTGAGTTTTGATGATATGGGAAAAGAAATGGTCTTTATTTGGAGTTTACACAGTATCAGTGGGATCCTTATTTAACTTTATAAAAGATGTATCACCCTGATTGAATTCTTGGCTTTTCCTTTAAATTTTTTGTTCATTACAATATAATTGTTTTCCATTATCAAACATAAATTTCTTACCCTTTTGTCATATAATGTCACTCATATTGCATATTGAAATTTAATTAAATATATAATTCTGATTCACTTCAGTAATTTTATGTCTGAAAATAATACAGAAATGACAAAACATTTTTTAATGACGAGCTAGTTACTTTTACAAAACAAAAATTCAAAAAGCATGTAAAAATTTTTTTAATGTGTAGGTAAGAGAACTGCATACTTTGTTGTTTTTTTATTATGGTCTGTCAGTTAACTATATTAAATTACAAAGAAAGCATTTAGTAACAATATTATTAATCGAGCTATGATTTTATTGCTTAAACTTGCATGTGTAGTACCTCCCATGAGAGGGTCTTGACAAATAGTAAAGTATCTCAGGTTTGAAAATAGGGTAAAGACTTGTAAAAAGAGAAGTTAATCTTTAAAACCATGTAAACAACTTCCCTATTATTCTATGTGGCATTTTTAAACTTATACAAAGTTTTGAAGTAGTATCCTGGAATGTTGAACACAGTTTTGAGAAATAACGCACCTAAATAGTGGTCTGTTTTTTTTCCTCTGTATTTTTGTAGTGTTTGATTTTGTTGATGATACTAAATGTTAATATATTGTTTCCATTTGAAAGGTAGAAACATGTTTCTGCAACAAATATTTATTTAAGGATACTTAAGGCTGGCCGGGCCATTTGAGTGAAGTAATTGTTCTAGTGAGCAAAAAATATACTAAATGAAAATTACAATGGTGTATGTTAATATGAAAAACAAGATAACATTGATTGAATATATATAAACAAAACCTTTTAATCAGTAATAGAAAATCATTTTGTTCTTTTTTTTTCCCATTGATCATATATACGGACAAGAAAATTGCATAATGTTGTTATATTAAAGATAGACAGAAAATTTTTACTACGTAAGTATTTGGTCTGTTTTAAAAGATTCCAGACTAATAATGTAAAACAAGTTTTAGACAAATGGAAGGTTGTTTTCTAATATACAATGGTGTTTTACAACAAATTAATAAATTTAGAAGTGAAAAGTTGATAGAAATAGTGAATCAATTGTGTTTTTGTTGTTCTTTTACCCAGTGAAAGTTTCTACTTGATTCAGCAGTTTTTGATCTTAAAAACTGAGTGCCCTAAATCTAGGTTTCCAGAGCATAAGAGCAGATCATTTCAATATAGTTAAATTATAATATATTTTTTCACCATTCTCAGATCATAATGTGTCATTATATTATTTTTAACTGAATTTCTCTCAGTCTTGGATTAAATATTGGAATGGAAAAGCCTGTCCTTTCAAAAAAAAATATTAAAGTGTGTATATGTGAGCTCAAAGCCATCACAGATGTTTTTCTTCTCTGCAATGTCTTTATGTATGTTCAACATCATTACAAGAAATAGAATGAATTTTATTGTTTGTAACATTTGAAAATATCATTTTATGCTATTATAGTAAGTGACTGATGGTTTTTTAAATGGAAGTTATTACTACTTGAGTTACATTTCCATAAAAAACTGTTTTCTTTTATCAAGATGATAAATAAAAGTTTGTAAGTAAAAGTAGTAACTTTAAGGATGCATTTCATTACTTTGGCATTATTTGGTAACATTATTTCAAAAAATTATACTTATGTTTTAGCACTTTACCATTGTTACTTTACTGAGAAACATACTGGTTTGGAGGAATGTATCATCCTCTGTCTTTTTTGGACTTCACACACAGAATTAGTGAGGACATAGCTTGTGGTATTACTTAATTTTTTCCTGTATATTCTCTTGGTCTTGTGAGAATAGTTCATTACCATCTTTGCATATTTACAGTTAATCAGTTTCAGGCTTTTTTTGTTCGTTTTTAAAAATTTAATCAGCTTGCTTTATTTTTCATATTTAGTATTAGTATTTATATATATTTTGTTTCAAATTTCAATTTGTTTTTCTAGCTGCGGGCAATTACTGAACAGATGAGTTTATTAGCAGCTGAGAGTAGAAGAAAAGCCAAGAAAAAAAGAAAAAAGAGAAAAAAAGAAAAGGAAGAACCTGTAAAAGAAATAAAACCTGACGTAGAAACACTTCCTCTAGAGCCGCCTGTTACACAACCATCTACTATTCCACCAGTGAACAATACAGTTCCACCTCCATCTGCAAAGGAAACACACCCACCAAAAATTCAAAAATCAGCCAAAAATAAAACTAATACAACACCTACTAAATCTCAAAACCAAAACAAGTCTTCAGGTCAGACAAAGAGACAGAGATCAAATAGCAAGTCATCAAAGAAGAGTAGTAAAAGTGTACCAGCATTTGACAGTGAAGATGAAGACAATGCAAAACCAATGTCTTATGATGAAAAAAGGCAGCTGAGTCTGGATATTAACAAATTACCAGGTAACACTTACATTTTCTAACTACATTTTAAAAGTGATAGTATGGAAACTGATGGTTGCTTTGTGGTTACAACATTGGTGGAATCCACCAATCCCAATAGCAGTTTTCTTTTTTATTTATATTCCTCTTGATTTGTCCATTTGGACACAAAATAATTTTTAATTTTTAGGCCTTTTGGTTTTCTAATATTTTGCCTGGTTTAACATTTAATCTGTAACTTTCAAAGGATTATATTAAATCTCTCACTAAGGGCTCAGTCCCAGGGACTGACCTCGTAACCATTTTGTGCTTGTTATAGCTTTCATACAATAACTTTTAGTACAGTATGTGTATCTTCATGAAATTTTGCAGATTATCAGTAAAAATTACATGTTGGAAAGTCAACATTCAAAAAGTAATTTTGATTTTAAAATCAAAAATAATTTTATGCATCATAAAATTGTCAAATTTCACTTGTGAAATCTTTATAATCTCCGGATAATTATCAAATTTCTTTTTTAAAAAAAAGAAAAAACTATTATGTCTGTTATTTTCATTGTTGTATCTCTGTATGGGTTTGGTTAATTTGACCGACCTCGTAACTATAGTAAAAATTAGAAAATAGATATAAATTACACTTTTTTCTTTCTGGAATGACTACAAATTATAACACGAAACCGCAATTGTTTAGTCTAAATAACTTAAAACTCATAACATTATACATCTGTATATATTTATTTTATTGACCATTCAGCTGTGTCTAACTAACACTAAAGAAGTTACAATGATGCTGCACTCATGCATTTGTTACTGTATCCATTAGTATAAAACTGGCTTTTATAGATTGACCTGTCTTGGCTTTGTTCTAGAGGACCATTATTTTGTAAAATACAGTCACATTTTGGTTATATGTTACATATGTACATGTATTATTGCTATTTACAAATAATTTCTTAAATTTCAGTTATTTTTCTTAAAACATAGAACAGTAAATATAGAAGTATAGAAAACAATGATCTAGTCTACATACGAACGTTGTACTTGTTTACTGATTGCCATAACTTGTTAAGCCTTATCAAATTTTGCACGTGGAGGATGTAAAACAATATAAATTTATTAGGTTTTTTTATATGCATCTTAAAATAACAAAAATCATAAAATACTGTATCAATACCACAGAATTCCACTGTAATTTATCAAGCTTAGTAACTAAGCTGTATTTGGGTCTAAAAAAATATGATATTTCGAGCTCCATTATCTCCTACCTTTATGCTTCGATTCTACCATGAAAATTTAGGTTTTTCTGTGTAAACACTTTGCAGAGGCTGAGAAAACTATGTGGGAGACATTCTGAGCTTTGATTGGTTTTACACATGTCATATAGTGAAGTAAGTGTATGTAAGTAAGTATTTCCAAAAATGGAAGAGGTGGGCAAGGCTACCTTGGTTGATTCACTAAGTATAATAACATCTCGGAAAATTGAAAATATAGGAGGTTTATTTTGTATTCTGGCTTGTCAATATCAGTAATTTGAGTTTCTAATTTGAAAAAACTACAGACTTTGTATTTGGACATCATAAACATCTAATTTGAACCAAAGCTGTATTCAACATACCATGTGGCACACAAAAATTGGTATTTAAGGATTTTTTAAAATATTTACTTTTAAATTAATAAATTAACTAATGTATAGTACTAAAATTTGAATTATAATCTCCACTTTGATACCCAATTTATTGGTATACATTCATAAAATAGAAGCTCAGTAAAATTTTGAATGCAAGTCTACAAATGTGATGACATGCCCTTTGAACTCTGACTATAAGAAGACCCATTGAGATAGAGTTAATTGGTTAAATTGCCCAACATTACATCATTTTTCCACCTTTGTCAGCTATAGTTACAATAAGCTTTATATGTTCTGTGAGTCCTTTGGAGCACTGGTTTTTAATTTAGTTAGCTTATGGTTGGGAGTCAGCTTAGTTTTTAAGATGTTGTAAACCTTGAGGCTAATTACTGTTTGGTTAATTGTATTTAAATCACATGTCCCCTTTTCTATTTTAATAATGATTTCTTCATTATTGAGGTTACCTCGTGAGGACAGGGTTCTCATTAAGTTCCCACAGTGAAGGATCCCAGACTCTCAACTTTTTTTTCTAAGGGTCCCATAGGTAGAATTTAATAAACTCAAAAAAAAAGAAGAGAAAAAAGGAAAAGGCACCTCAGTTTCAATGAAAAAGTTTATTTACAATGCACACTACCTTCTGCCAGTGGAAAAGAGCAAGTTAATGTTCAATGAAAAACTGCATTGCATGTTGTTTCCCTTTATGAGTGCAAAGTAATTTTCACGATAAGATTAAAAATACTTTTCTTCATCTGTAACTTTTCAAATATCATAACCTTCTAAATAAAAAACAAATGTTTTTTTTTTCAGAATAGCTATATTTTATCTGTTATTTTCTGTACCCTAACTCTGTATGAGGTCAGTTGATTTGACTGACCTCATAACCACCATAAAGAATTAAGAAATAATTATAAATCTCCACTATTTTCTTTCTGGAATGACTGTAAATTGTAACAGAAAACCATGATTGCTTATCCTAAGTAGCTTAAAGCTTGTAATAGTATACATTTATTTATACTTAAATTTTATTATGTTATTGCCCATTGAACTGTGTCTAATTATTAAGTATTATTTGTGCCATATAAGTTGCAAATTACATTACGAACTTGTAGCTCGCATTATGGTATCAAATTACATATTGCACAGACTACTTGCGAGCATATCTCAAAAATTATTATTATTATTATTGTTATTATTTATTTTACTCTAGCTAACCTAAAAAGTTTTCAGTTTTTACATTTTAGTTACTTTTATAATAATAAATACATATGAAAAACAAGAAACAAAGTGCTAATCTGTTTTTTTTTTATACTCTTGACTGTTGATGATATTTAACCCAACTTTTTTATACTAATTGTACTACTACTAAATAATTCCATTCAATAAAATAATGCACAAAAGAACATAGAATAATAGCATACAAAAAATAAACTGTTTTCTAACTATTACTATTTTTCTGGCTTTCTAACAGTGTGAGAAAAGCCATTAAAAATTCAGCTAAGCTTGTCGATGTGTTTCTCGTGGGAATAAAATTTGAACTGGAAGGAAAATAGACAATTCTATGTACAAACAACAATGTAATATAATACATCATTTGATAGAGAAAAACTTTGTCTTTCTATTGGTTATAAATAATGTATTTTTAAATGTCATAGAAAATTATTGGCAAGTTCTGAAAGAGAGTATGTGACAGATCGACATGGCAAGAGAGGTCTGATTTTCTAATTTATTGCTCTGTAACTAAATAAGATTGAAGGCTATATAAATTATGCTTTGCCTGAATGATGAAATCATTATAATGAGTAATTTATGTTAAATGTTGTACTTCTCAGGGGGGTGGTAAAAAAATTAGAGAAGAAGGAAGACATAGGAAACAAACATCAGAGTTCTCATATTAGTGGAAATTAAAAATTTTTTGAAAGTATTTCGTTATAAAATTAAGAGCTTAAAACTTAAATAATACAAAACTTTGATTTATTATCAATGTTCTGCTACTGAGTTTATTCATATACATTAATAATACAGTAGTTTAATTGAATTTTGAAAGTAGTTCTGTGAAAGGTTGTGATGTGCACTTTGACCTATCTGAGGTGAAAGGGTTAATCATATGCTTCTTTCATGAGGCTTTATTTTCATGTAATTTATTGTCATTGATGAAACCTGTTAGAAGTTGATTGTGGACAGCTGTGTGCAAACTGTATGGTGTTTATTATGCGTCCTCAACAAATTCTCATTTGTACAGGATCCTGGAGGTCAGGCTAACTAGAACCCTGAAGGTTGAAAAATTTAACCACAAGTTTAGTAGTACACTAGGTTACTCTTCTGGTTAGTGGTTGTGATCAGATATATTAATAACAGGATCAGGTAGGAATAGGGTGGTAAACAGGTAGTTCCTGGCCATTAAAGATCTCAGTTCTAAATGTAGTTTAAACAGTTCTATTTCAGTTATAGCTATAGATTTTATTTTTTCATGGATGACTTGGATTAGAATTTTAATTTTCAAATTAGATCTTGAAGTATATTTTCAAGGGACAAGCATAGCTGGTTAAACTTCTTCAGTGGATGTATTTGTAATATGTTGCATGCCATTCTATGTTTGTGAGAATAGTCTTAAAAGTTATATACACTAAGAATACTTAAAAGCCTGCTTGCTTAACATTGTGTTTTCACACACTCAGCCACAAAATGTCAGTTAGTAAACAAATTATTGCTGAACCAAAATTCTTCCATCCCTCAGCACAAAAATATTTAAAAATAAAGAAAGAATGCTCAATACTATTTTTATCGAATAAGGTTTTGCATTCCAGTATTGTTTAAGTCAAAGCTGACCCTTCTGAACTATTCTTGAACCTTGACATACAAGATCCTAAGAACAATTTTACCCTATCCCTTGAGAATGACAAGCTTTACCTGATGAAAATATATTTTTTATATATTTCTGCATTATTATGCTGAAGTGTTATTACTGTTTTTGTTTTTCTAATGGTTAAGATATCTACTTAGAATACTACTACTTAATTAACAATGCTAAAATTATTTTAATTCGCTTGATGTGAAAAGCTTTGTTTGATATAAAATGGGATTATATGCTTTGGAAAACATCAAAATTAAGCAGATTTAAGTAGAAAACCACTAAATATATTACGGGTAACTGAATTTGTTTTATAACTGTTATTAGTGCTATTACTATTATACATATATTGTTATTAATTAATAGATATTCTTTGTATTAATTTGTTATTTACAACTTTCTAGTAATTTTAGTAACTTATAGATAATACAGTTCCTAGCATGTAACATGAAAGTTTGTACTATTCATCTGCTGAATTGGTACAAATTTTCAGCACAACTAAACATCTGGCAAAATGACTTAATAGGCTGGATATGTAACACTAATCAAATGCCTGTCATAACCAGGCTCGATCAATTTGACTGACTTTGTAACCACAAAGTAACCACCATGGTTTCCATACTATAACTCTTAATATAGTACATATATTTTCACGAGATTTGGCAAGCTTTTAGTAAACATTGAAAGTCTTTTGTACAGAAACAAATAAGATTTTTTAATTAATTGTTTTGCAAGAGTGTTGACTACTCTGAGTGAAAAGTGACTTTCATGTTGAGATTAAAAATAGTTTTCTTTATTTGAAAATTTTCAAATTTCATTTGTGTAACCTCTGAAACCTAAATAAATATCAAACTTTTTTCAATAAAATTTTATATACCTAATTCTATACGGACTAGGTTGATTTGATCGACCTTTTATCCATCACAAAAAAGTACGAAATCTAAATCACTCTTTTTTTTTTTCTTCTTAGAATGACTGCAGATTATAACAAGAATCACATTTGTTTCTCCCAAGTAGCTTAAAGCTTGTAACAGTCTACATCTGTTTATATTTAATTTATTGTTTTTATTGCCCTTTGAACTATGTATAACTAATAATCCTGCCACACGTAAATTACTCTAAATGTGTAGCTCATGATATCTTATTGAATGATGTAACACACCAGCTGCTCATGAGCGTACTTGTAAAGAATTTTTATTATTAGTTTTTCATTATCTTACCTAATCTAACCTAATATTAAGTTTCTAATTTTTATATTTTAGTTACTTTTATAACAATAAACAAAGAATACACATGAAAAACAAGAAATATAGTATTTACCTTTGTCCTCTTGTTTTTTTGCTGTTGTGTGCTGATGAAATTTAACCCAGCTTTTTTTATACTGATGGTACTAGTACACTAAATAATTTTTATTTACTTAAACCTTATGACATGAGCATCCTTTTATGCTCATGTCACGAGGTTTTAGTGAGTTACATTCAAAATATAATTAAACTACTTTCTTATCATGGTATGCAAATAAATATAGCATAAAAATGTAGCTTATAATCGATATTTTAATAGTATATTAAGTATTAAGCTCTTACAGTTTGTAAGGCAATATTAAAACAAAAATCCCGAATTCCCTTACTATGAGAATTATGACCTTTTCTCTCTAGGCATTCCCTCTTTTCTAATTTATTTACAGCCCCTTCAAGTTGTATGGAATTTAATGTAAATTACTCATTGTAATGTTGTCATTGCTCAGGCAAAGCATAATTTTAGTCTTCAACCTTATTTAGTTACAGAGTCTTCAAATAGAAAATCATACCCCTCTTTCGGTGCCAACCTATCACATCCTTCCTTTCAGAAATTGTCAATAGTTCTCTGTGATGTTCAATACCATATTTTTTTATAACCAACAGAAAACCAAGGTTTTACTCTACTATCAAATAATGTATTATATTACATTGTTTTCTGTTCAGAGAATTGTCAGTCTTACTTCCAGTTCAACCTTTATTCCCATGGGAAACACATAGACAAGCATGGCTGGATTTCTAAGGCTTTTGTCACACAGTTAAAAAGCCAGAAAAATTGTGATAATTGTGGGAAATATTCTACTTTTTTGCATGTTATTATTCCGTGTTCTTTGGAACATTATTTAGTTAAATAAAAAATATTTAGTACAGTAGTACCATTAGTATAAGAAAAAAAAATAGTTGCATTAAGTGTCATTGACAGTCAACAACAACAACAAAAAAAAAAGAAGATCCAGATAAATACTTTATTTTTTGTTTTTCACATGTATTCTTTATTTATTATTATAAAAGTAATTAATGTAAAAATAGGAAAGTTTTTAAGTTAAGGTTAGATTAGATAAAATAAATAGTAATAATAATTTTTCACAGGGTACACTTGCAAGTAGCTTGTGCATAATGTAATTCAACAGTGTAACATGAGCTGCACATTTGCCAAGTGATTTGCAACATATAATGACATGAATAGTTGTTAGGCACCATTCAAAGGGCAATAAAACAGTAAAATATAAGTATAAACAGATGTATATTGTTATGAGTTTAAAGTTACTTAGGATAAACAAATGTAGTTTTATGTAACAATTTGAAATCACTCTAGAGAGAAAAAAGGGTAACTTAGATTTTTTTTTTTTTTTTGGTGGTTACAAAGGTGGTCAAATTGACCAACCTGTGTTGTAAGCCTCAAAGTTAATATTAGTTATTTGTTGGAAATATCTGAAGTAAGCTTGTTTATTACATGTTTACTTGATGCAGCTGGAAGTGCATTCTTAGGTTATAAATATTTATTGAAAAAGTAAGGTGTTATTTTAAATGTGGGTTTTTAATCATTCTTGAAATTGTCTTGGTTTCAACAAATTTCTGATGAATGGTGGGGTTAATAAAACATTGTAGTATAAATGTGTTTGTATATTTTCTAATAGGAGATAAGTTGGGTAGGGTTGTCCACATCATTCAGTCTAGAGAACCCTCACTTAGAGATTCCAATCCAGATGAAATAGAAATTGACTTTGAAACTCTCAAGCCTTCCACCTTGCGGGAATTAGAAGCTTATGTTGCCTCATGCTTGAGGAAGAAACCTAGAAAACCTTACTGTGAGTACATTATGTATGCTTTTTGTTTGAAATGCTTAATTTAAGCTTAATTATAATTATGAAAAATGATGGATTCAACAGTGGTTCAAAGAAAATAGGAAATACGTAGTTTTTTTTTGTGAGAATGTATTGACTTTAGATGGCTTTTTTGTTTGCTTTTATGCTAGATTAGCTCTTTGTATTGCATATGATCTTTTAATACAGCACATAAACATAGCACTGTATTTCCTAAGATTGCATATTTCCACATAACTATTCCGTACACGTACACCAACTGCTATTTAAAGCAGTATCATTCATCATACTTTACATGCAGGTTTATTCTTTGCCCTTGTACAAGGTTTTCTTGGCTGGTCTTTTTCAAGTTTCTTCCATCTTTCAGCACACTTTCCTCCCATTTAATCACTTTTTTTAACCTCTTCTGTTTTCATCTTTTATGTATGTGTTCCTCATAATATCCATATTATATTTACTTTTTTTCCCCATCAGAAGTTAAATACTTGTCATTAAATTTATAGCAATTATTAAATTTCTTAAAATATTGTTTAATTTTGAAGCCATTATTAATTTGATTTAGTTGGCTTGCATGATTTTTGTTTAATTTATGTAAGATATTTTTATTTTGTTTGCATAAAGAAAAGTGGATATTATAAGTTATACTGTTTTTTTTGTTTGTTTGTTTGTTTTTATCTTTTTGGGGGTTGGGGAGAAAAGAGTGCTGTCTCTCAATTCTTGCTTATACTGTTTGGCTTAAAATTTATTGAAAATAAAAGAGGCAAAGAACAGAAGAAAATTGAGACAGTTTCTGTTACTGGTGCTAATGAGTCACCATTGCCTGTCTGTGTGTATAGCCACCAAGAACAAATCAGCAGGCAAGTCTAAAGAAGAGCAAGTTAGGGAAAAGAAGCAAGAACTAGAAAAAAGGCTGCAGGATGTCAGTGGCCAACTATGTCCTTCTAAAAAGCCAGCCAAGAAAGGTAAGGGGCCGAAGCAATAGAATACACACTAATTTTGACCGTAACTATATAAGGGTGAGAAAGTGTGTGAAACTTAGACAAATTATTTACCTTCCACTATCACAATTTAGAAAGAAAACACCTATTATTTCAGTAGAATATACAAACTTTTTTTTACCAAAATTAATCTCTAGCTCTTTTTATGTTTTAACTTTCCGTAATAACTGAACAACAAGGGGATTTTCTTAACAACAGAAAAAGAATGAATAGATCAAATTCAGAAATTTAATTTGTTGTACTTTAGGACTGAAATAAATAAATATATAAATATATATAGTCAGCTAGTTAGTTTCTAGTTACCTGGAAAAACAAAATTTGGAAAGTATAGTAAAAGAAAGTCCAAATATTTTGCAATATTTTTTATTAAAATTCTAAACCATCTCTATAATTTCTGATTATAAAACATTTTTTAATTGTACTAAAAGAACAATTATCAGGGCACTTTCATTCATGCTCACAAATTACTAGAAATATGTGTTTTTTTATGCTGATCTGAAAGAAATTATCTGTGGGAATATACGTTTTTTTTTCAATGTGTATAAAACCTAGGTTTGAAGTTCAGTTCATGGTGGAATGTTTTTGTGTAGTATTTTCTTGATAGTTGTAATGTTTAGCTATGAGATAAAAATTTTGCATGCTAACAGTAAAATTATTTTACTATTACTCTTAAAATGAGCATTAGGTTTCAAGATTGTAAATTAAAAATGGTATTAAAGCACAATCCACATGGAACTTATTAGTCACTGGAACTAGAATAAAGTTGATCATTTTCAGCGTATGACTTTTTGACTAGGAAATTATTAGTAGTAGAACCTGGGAGAAACTTAAAGTACTTCTTTTATTTTATGTTTTTATAAAAAAAAAAGTTTTGTCCATTATTTTCAGTCTTAATATTATTAAAAACATTGGAGATTTCCCTGCTTTAAGAGTTGAATTTAATATAAGAAAACTAAGTACATAAATTTAAAATTCCCAAATTTTAAAAAGTTTGAATTTTAATTTTATTCTTGATTCCAAAATTAATGAAAGGTTTTTGTGGTTATATTACTGGTTGTTTCTTTTTCTTTCTTTCTTGAATTCAGACTTTTTTGACAGTTGTTTACAGAAACTGCTCTTGAAATGTGTTAATCAGCTTACTGATAACTTTGGATTTTTTATGCACATTTATACATAGATTTCATAAACTGAACCATCTAGCTATTTTTAATTATCACACCTTTCTCACAGAAACTGAAAACTCGCATGGTGATGTTGGTGGTCCAAGCAGACTAAGTGCTAGCAGCAGTAGTTCAAGTGACAGTGATAGCAGCAGCAGTAGCAGCACCAGTAGTTCATCAGATAGCAGTGACTCAGAGTCAGGTTAGACCATTTTATATCTAGCAGCTGCAAATCATACACACAGTCAGCCTCCTCCCTGCCAACAATATGTGCTTGATCTGGCCCCATTTTCTGGAGTCTTGGAGTAATGGGGGTGAGGTGGAACAAGATAGGAACAACATCAAGAACTACTCAAATGCTACTTTTTTTTCCACACAGCTATTGGAAAAGTGTGAAAACAAATCTACCTGCGACATTCAGGCCCACGTAAATATTAACAGTGGCTTTTTCACCAGCTTTTAGTTTTTGTAGAAGGAATTTTCACACACAAAATGGCAGTATAATTGTCTTCAACCTGTGTTAAAAAAACTATAAAAGTGTGTAAAATAATGATTTACACTATCTGGGCATTGCTGTCACACTGTTTCTTGGACAAAATCAACTGTTTTTTGGACTGCAAATCTTTCTTCATTCAAAGGCATTTAAATCATCATGTCCCCCCCATAGAAAATATCCCACTGTTTAATTCCGTGTTTTTTGTTAAGATGGTGCTTTTTTTTACATTTATAAACAAATATTATAAATTCATCACCAGCACCATCATGTGTAAAGTTAGGAATACAAAACATTTCAGTAAGTTATTCCATATACTCATTTTGTCAGTGTGAAAAGAAACCCATTTATCCATCACGTTTTTGTAAATAACACACTATTTTTGAGCCATGATCTTTCCTTGGCTGTGATGTTGGGAAAAATGATTCATGTCAAAGCCAAAGAGTGCAGTGTTCTGAGGTCAGTCATTTTAATATTTGAAAATGCTCTTTGATTTTTTTTAGTTTTATTATAATTAAAGACATTAAAGAAAATACAATTTTTGTTCATTCAGAAAAAAATATATAATGAAAATAGAGATTAGGTGAAAGTTTTAATTTGTACAAATACATTGTATTGTAGAGAGTTTATCCAGGTTAATGAAGTACTTTGACAAAGTACTTCATTTACATGTAGTTGAAAATTTATCAAACGATCAAGTATATATCACAGTTTTATCCTGTGATGGTGGTGACCTTGTTTGTTGCCTTGTCTGCAGTCAAACACTTTTGCTTCTGTGATAGGCACAATTCTTTAAGCTAATGTGACATTACTTTGATGAAACATCATTCTATAGGATAAAGATTATTTTTGTATATTAGGAATTAGGTTTGTCCTATCTAATATTTGGGAGTCAATATAATCATGAAGCAAATGTTTAGGTACAAATTGTCATGAGAATCACATGGAAGTTAAAAGAGAGTGTATGGTATGAAGTCTTAGAGATATTGCTTGTGTATAACTTGAAACATTTCTTGACCTTTCCTCTTTTTTTTTTAAATCACAGAATATTTTGGTCATGTATGTTTCAGCTTCATTTGTATTTGAATTTTTTTAATGTAGTTGATGGTTTCTTAGTGGTCTGTTATCTGTACATTTAAATTAATATTGTATGAACAAATGAACCATAGTGTAAGTGTTCCAAATAAAATATAATTAATGCATTGCTCCTGTCTGAAAGATACTTATAAATAACTGACATAAGTGTTTTTTTTATTATTAGCTTTTTTTCTGCTACAGTTTTTGCTTTTTGTTATGAATGGAGTGACTTCTTACATTCTTATGCTAAAGTTTCTGTTGACTTGCTACAATAGAAGGCTGTTACATTTAGTTACATGAACCATAGGGTCTTATTGAGTAAACTAGATAGCTCCTTTTTTACAGTGTTGATAGCCAAGGAATACAAACTTGATAGCTGTGTTTGTAAATTAGCTAGGACAGTATATACAAGGAAATGATTCTTTCATATGTCATTATATGCATTAACTTAAAAATATCTCTGATAATAACATTAGGGACATTAGGGTTCTTTTATGTTTTAACAAATGGATTAAATTTCTGTATCTCACTGTTGTTGATATAAAGGATAATTTAGTATAGTCATAGTTTGTACTGTAGCTTATGTAATGAATTAAAGTTATTCAGGAATGTGATTAGCTCAAGATGTTATAGCAGTATTGTTGTGATACAAATATATATCCTGATAGGGATTAAATATTAGCATAGAGGAACATTTTCTGCAGTTCTTAAAGCTCCTACCAGATATACCACAGAGGGCCCGCAAAACTCTTGCTGTTGCTGTATATTCTAGGTTGTCTTATGTTGCTAGTATTGTAGTTTTTGATAAATGTCCAAGCATTACGATATTAAGTTGGCAATTGGTGACATATTTTAAAAGACAGGGTTGTGTCTGATGTGTTGATGTTGGAATTTTAACCCTCTTCCATACAAGCTTTATTGTGTGAAAAACGTTTTTTTTTTCTTTATAGTAGTGTTTTGTGATTGAGCATATATGTGATTAGTGTGTCTTAACACAGTCATGCTCTCTGTCATAAAATCACATTTGAGTAATGTCCATAAAGATTAAATACAGGTAATGCTTGTAATTGTAAACAAGCCAAAAACATTATTGTATCATGTTATAGTTCACAAAATGTTTAAATCAGTGTGTTGAATTTTAGTAGGTGTTTTTTTTCAACACTCGTATATTTTGTTTTTAAATTGAAAAAGTTATCTATTTTATGAAAGATTCAGACTGCAGTCTTTTACTTGCTAGCTGTTACAACCTTACCATTATATATGCTCTAAATATATATTATTTTTGTCTTGGCCTTATCTTTTTCTTACAAACTCTATAAAAAAGTTGGGGGGAGAAGGAGGTATATCTATGGCACCCATAATACATTTTGTAGTGTAAAAGCAATATACAGGACAAAAATGTTTATGAATAAAGCTTAAAACCTTTTATCTAGTCACAGTTTGTGAGGTGAATATCTAAAAAAGAAATGTAAGAATGTGAACTGTGGTTGCAATATACACATAATACACAGCTTCTGAAAAATCCATTAGAAAAACAGTTCTTACTATATGTTTCAAGATATCGAGTATCAGCATGAATTCATTTGTTATTGTAGCTAAGTCTATTGTTGGAGACACTTTGATTTAATCTGTAGATAGGAAATAAGAATGTTTGGTAACAGATAAGGAAAAATTAAAACATGTATGTATTCCAGGAACATTTAAACTTTAAAAAAATCATAGTCATGAAATTTTATACTTGCATAAACTGGAATCTTAAGTAAATATTTTGTTTCTACAGACCCAGTTCTTGGTCGTGTGTTTTAGAATAAACCTCAGTGTCTTAATAAGATAGAAACTTCATGGTGAACTCTTAGTTTTGTAAATACTTTTTTTCTACTTTTTTTAACATTCCAGTGTAAAGATTCTGAAAGATTTTTTTCCCAGAAAATTTTTGCTGGCTGACCTTAGCACACAGTTGCACTCTAAGGCTGTTTCAGAATATTTGATATTTTTTGAAAGATAAAAGTAAACTGTATTGATTCTGTGGCAAAGTTTCATATTATTATATTGTGTAGTACTGGAAGTTGCCTAACATTTGTATAATCTGTCAGCCTGCTGTAACAGGTTTTTACACAGTTTTTTTTTTCCTTTTAATCTATCATGTGAAATGAGAATGTATCAGTCCTCTTTGCTATAGTTTATAGACAAATGTGTCAGACATTTCTTTGACACTGTGTGGTGGGAAATAAAGGCACAACCAGTGTTTTCTGTTTGTATCAATTTTGTTTTGTCATTCTTCAGCAGCAATAAGTGTGCCTGTATGTACAATGCTGCCATTTAACACTAATTTCTTTCCATTGACAGTTGTAAATAAGAGTAGAATTTCATGATTCATTTTCTTGCTTTTACATAGTCATCTGCATCATTTATAGCTCTGTCATTTTCACAGTGTCAGTCATTGATCATGTTCAGCAATTGTATTGTGTTGTATATTCCTTTAAAACCTGTCAAATAAAAAAAAATGTGACATACTGATTTTGTTGTTATTGTTATCTTATTAATAAAGTAAAATATAAAATGGCTGTCTGCCTCAGTTAAACACTGCACTCAGGACATGGCAAATGTGAATCTAACTTGATATTTAGAACATCCAGCCTTAAATGCTGCGTGGTTTAACTGGAAACATTGTTAGATTGAAGTAAAATTTATTTTGTTTTATTTTCTCACTGTTTGACTTTCACTGTATCCTCAGTTATTTTTATATATATATTCCAAATATCATAAGTATTTTAAACACAATTTTAAGATCAGCAAATTACTTGGATGTTTACAATTTCACTTGAAACAGTGTTAAGACTTGGAAATTTGGACAAGTGAATCTTTATCAAGAAAGTGTCACCTCATTTCAGATAACATAACTAAATTAATGAAACTAAATACAATCTAGACATTTTTGGCTTCTATTTGCAAGTGTCATCAATATGATATTTTTATAGTGTAAATTTATATATTGTTTATAATTTTGTGCTTCAGTAATAAGAAATAAATTTCAATTTTTAATGTACATTGCAAACCTAGCATGTGTTACAATATTTAAAGTGAAGTAATCAGTAACAAAATGCTTTTATTATGATACAAACATAGCTACAACGTCTTGTTGTCAGGAAAGAGAAAAGGTTTCATAGGTTGCACTTCGAAGAAACTAGGTTTACTGGTTTATACTAACCATGGATTATCAGATTGTAGAAAGATGTTACCTTGAAAATGGTTTTGGTTGGGTTGCTTGATCAAACCTGCCAAAAACTTTGACAAAGAAAAAAATTTTATATTGAAAGAGTAGTGTACTCAACAACAAATACAAAAAAGATTGAATTCAGAAAGAGTTAATGGTGAAACAGCCTTAGTTTAACAGTTAACCCTGCATGCACAGGTGGGAGTCAAAGTGTGCATGCCATGACATTTTACAGATTGTCATTCCAAATGGAATTACAAACTTTGTCAAGAGTTATCAACTATTCATTTTACCTTACATTGCTGATTCAGCAAAAGCTTATGGTGGAGGAGAGTAAATACCAGATACATTATACACAAATACTGAAAACTGTAGATTAACATTTAAAAAGTCCTAGAGGTTATGCAATATGCAAAAT